AAGGCTGCTCGGCGCTCACTGATATCTTGGGAATCGATGGATGAGGATCTGCGCACATCTCTCTTCTCCACCCACCATGGCCTTCCACGCACGAAGCAAAAACACCATCGTCATCTGTTTGCAATCGCCGCTGCACAGCCTTCGGATGGAGGCTGTTGATTCCGAACCTAAGGCGGCGGATTCGAGCTTCAGTGTCTGGTGCGCCGTCGGATGAAGTTCGCAATCTGTCTGCAATCGCCGCTGCACAGCCTTCGGATGGAGGCTGTTGATTCCGAACCTAAGGCGGCGGATTCGAGCTTCAGTGTCTGGTGCGCCGTTGGATGAATTTCGCCCGCCACTGTAGACCACGCCTGATGCTAAAATGAGTTTTATGTTAAATTAAAATGAGTATAACGTCCAAAATGAATGAGCACACAAAAATGCATTTTTACAATTTTTGATACTCATTTCGTAAGTTATGTATGCTCATTTGGTGGTAATGGTATGCTCATTTAACAGAAAGCTTGATTTTCATCTCAATAAATGAGGTTTGGTGCTCAATGAACATATCATTATGTTAAACTAACAAATCTTACGATTTTCATATCAATAAACATTTTATAAGTTACGTATACTCATTTGGTACTGATGTTATGCTTATTTTAAAATGTTATATTAATGCATATTTTAAAAGTATCATATTGCATTAAATTCGCATATGGAAATTCATAGAAGTGTATTATAGATATAATTCAATTAATTTTTATAAAAGAAAAAATAAGGAAAAAAATGAATTAGAAGATATGAAGCACAAATCATGATACTCATTGTTAGCCTCTAAATACTCAATAAAATATGTCGGATGCTCACTAAATGTATACTATTGCTCATTTAGCGGAAACCGTAATTTTTCACTTATATTACAAAAATGCCACCGAATTTTTTTTGGCTTGTATTGATTGTTGGGTTGTCTTTCTTATTTGGGTCGGGTGTACATACACCCGGATGCACCATATAAGTACTGATGCATCTATGCAATAGTAGGTTGATTTCCCCCATCCCCACCTGCCCCCTGGGGTTTCAAGTTTCTCAATCCATTTTGTGTGTGTGTCTATATATATATATATATATATATATATATATATATATATATATATATATATATATATATATATATATATATATATATATATATATATATATATATATATATATATATATATAATAATAATAATAATAATAATAATAATAATAATAATAATAATAATAAATGATCTTATGAGAAAAATGAGAATGAATCTGGACTGTTAGATTTGCTTTATGTAAAATTCAACGTGCATTAGATGAAGCTGTAAGGTGTATTAGGTGAAATTGAAATGTGCAGCACAAATGGTACAATGTAGTGGCATTATGTGAAGCTAAAATGTGCATTAGGTGAATTTGAAATGTGACTAGATGAAACTAAAATGTGCAGAATAAAAGGTACGATGTGATGTTATTTTTGTACCTTTTATTCTGCACATTTCAGTTTCACCTAATGCACATGTGAGTTTAAATTTTAATTCTGCACATTTCAATATCATATGATGCACATTTCGGTTTCACCAAATGCACAATTCAATTCCACACAATTCAATCCAACGGTCCAGATTCGTTCTCATTTCTCTCCTAAGATCCGCTCTTACCGGAACCGCTCCCTATATATATATTGTTATTGTATACCATAAATTTCAATAATTTTTTAATTTAAATAAGCTTTGTGAAGATGATAAAAGGAAAATCATAAGTAAACATATTGTTATTGTATATATCGTTCCAATTGTAGTAACCTACTCCCTCCGTCCCATTGGACTTTGTCAATTTTCCCTTTTTAGTTGTTTCAAAAAACTTTGTCACTTTCCTATTAAAGCAACTAATTTGTGGTTCTGCACATTTCTCTGCTCTGCACAAATCTCAACCACACAGTTTTTACTTTTCTTATTTCTCACCTACTTTGCACTTGACAAAGTCCACTGGGACGGAGGTAGTATAATTAATTATACTCCCTCTGGTTCGTATTAAAGTTCTCACTTTCCATTTAGGGATGTCCCTTATTTAAGTTCACACTTCCATTGTAGGAAACAAAACAGTGCAAAACAGTGCCAAACAGTGTCAAACAGTGTCCAAACAGTGTCAAACAGTGCCAAACAGTGCACTCCACAGTAAAGTCAAATTTATTTTCTTAATCTGTGTGAAGTCAAACTAGGAACTTTAATAGGAACCGGAGGGAGTATATGTTTGTGTGTTAGACCTGCACAAACGCGTGCTCGGGTCGGGGCCAATACCACGAGCCTCCTCATATGCCCAAGCCCGTCCAACAGAGCGGGTCGGGCTGTCCAACCGGTCCCCTCGGCCCGGAAAAAATATATTTTTTCCAATTTTTTTAAATCGAGAACATTTAAAAAATAATATCACAACATTTCAAAAGAAATTGTTGTACCCACAATATAAGAATATGTTTTCATAAAATACACAGAAAAATAAAAAACATCAAAATTCCAAATTAACATCAATAATATTGTAAACTGGACCCAAAAGCTCATATTCTTCATTCACATACATCGTATATATACATGAGGGAGCTATGGATTACACTTATAAGATGGGTCAGATACATGGGCATGAGTAGAGGACTAATGGACATCCATAATTACATAACACTCCCTCTTGGATGTACATTACTAAATAGAAGTATTACACGAAAATATAATATGAAAAAGTTTATTCTCTTTATTATACGTGTTGATAATGCTGCCTCGTTAAAAATTTTGCCAAGGAAAACCTTTTGGGACAAAATTTTGATCAAGGAAAAAAGAGTGCAACGCGTATATACTCTCCATGTTGACTGTATTCATATATACTCTCCATGTTGACTGCATGCGTATATACCCCTATATTGATTGCATCACTTCAGGACTTTATTGAATTTGATCCAATTTGATTACTAACTCTTCATTGTACAGTGTGTATGCCTCATTAAAAATCTTGATGAAAAAACCCTTTGGTAAAAAATCAATCAAGGAAAAGAGTGCATAATAAACGTAAAAAAAATGATGTGTTACATTGAAAGCCTCATTAAAAACTTGTAACTAAGAAAACCAGTGGGGAAAACTTAATAAAGGAAAAGAGCAGAGTCATTTAGCCTTCAGGCTCCATAATTAAGAAGGAAGACTAATTAGATGAAGATATATTCAAAAATGAGTGTCTCAGAGATGCATATGTTGCGTTGGATGCATAGATAGGAGTGAATACACATAGTCTCTAGGGGGCCGCTGCCCCCGATAAAAGTTCAATTTTAACTTAGAATCTACTAGAAAAGTTAGCAAGATCATAAATTTGCCCCCAATAAAAAAAACTATTTGCCCCCCTATAAGTAATCGAGCGATGACCCAATTAGATAAAGAAAAGCCCTTGTATAGCCTTATACTCCCTCCGTCTCAAAAAGATTGACCAATTTGATTATTCTTGGTCAATGGTGTTAAAGATTAGACAATGATTTTAAGTATTACATTTGTGTGTAATTTATAGACTTTATAATTTTATGCAAGATTTTTTAATAAAGGAATATGCTCATATAATTTTCATATTTTAAATAATTTTATATTAAAAAATATCATTGGTCAAACTTAACCACCATTGACCAAGAAAAATCAATTTGGCTAATCTTTTTGGAACGGAGGGAGTATTATGAATGAGTTAAAAGGGATCAATCTGATTTTCTAATTCATTTAGCGGGTAGCTTAAATTAACAATATGAAATTTAAAATTAGATATATAATTATGCAACTGACATTTACAAATACTACAAGTTATTCATTAACAGTTAGCACTAAGAATTATACTCTTTGCCATGTTTGACTGGCACGGGAAGTAATAAAATAAAAATTGTATGGTTGAGTTTTGTGCAAATGAGAGAAAAATAATAGGAACTACGAATTCATTGATTGAATTGGAAAGTGGCAATTTTTTTGGGACAATCCAAAAAGGAAAGATGACAAAGTTATAAGGGACGAAGAGTATTTATATCGTTAGCAAAACAAAAAACTTTTGGTTGTTTTAGATGATTAAATTAAGATTTGAAGTATATACTTAGTATACTACTTGCTAAAAACAAAATTAATTTTACATTTTTTCAAAAATTCATGAACACATTTTTATTATTACACCCTCATCAACCTAGGAAGTTCAAATACAACTGCATCATAAATTTAATAGTACTCTCAATGTGCTACTTCGATGCCTAAGGTGGTAATTTGGATACACTTTCATGTGACTCCATGAAAAAAAGATAAATGTTTGATTATCATCCTAAACAAAAGAACAAAAACTCACAGAGAGCAGTCATATATGAACTACTTTATCAAGGCTTTTGGAACATTTCTCTTGTGCTTGATTAAAAAAAATTGCTACCTAATATACTTTATTAAACTTCTTTTTGGACGTACTTTACTTTACTTGAGATGCAGGAGTTTCGATTGCAGTGGTTTGATTATGTGCACAGAAGAAGAATGATGCACTTGTTAAACAATTTGAGAGGAGGGAAGAAGTGGTGGAGAGGAGAGGGAGATGAAGACTCAAGCTTAGATTAGAATAATGAGAATTGATATGCTTCTTCTTGGATTAGATGATAATATAACTTTGAAGAGAGCAAAGTGGATGACACATATTCATGTGCATGTTTGATCTCTTTGTACTCTCATTTTCTTTAATGTTTTATCTTCTTTATTTTTTTATGTTCTTTTGTTATTCTTTATCTTTTATCTTCTTATGTTTTTATGTTATTTTTGTTTTTCTTATTTGTGTTTATTTTATCCAGTTTATCTTAATTTATCCTTTTATTCTTCTTATTTTTCTTCTCTTTTAATTCTCATATAATGGATCGATTAATGTTAGTCGACTCAATCTTTTGTTGTATACTATCTATACTTCATTGCATCGTAGGTAAATAAGATGATGGTTGTAAATACGCATGTAACGGCATGTTATAACAAATTGTTTTACCAAGGATATGTGTGAAAATGAAGCGCAGTGATGACATGTTCAATATTGATTAGGGATACATAGTCAATGTTTTGCATATCTGAAAATGAAAAGACCCATTTGCAAATATAACAGGGAGAAATGAAGCACATAAGATCTATTAACAAAATATAACAAACTTGCCAATGAAACAAAGAGATTAAGTTCGGCAGCATATGAAGTTTTGTCAAAACATACCACACCACCGCCTCTAGATTGGTGTGTGAGACAAAAGGAAGTTAAAATAGCAAGTTTTCAAGATGGATGAACAGCTTCATTAGAGACCATCAAAACCAAAAGGTCAGGTGAAAAAAACTGGTCATTGTCACTGCTCATTCCTTTTCTGCTCCAGTGACATGGCCATCAGTAGGAGGAGGTGGAGGAGGGACTTGGTCACTGCTTTCGTTATTATTTTCAGGGTGGAAGTTAATGGGGAATTTGGTAACCCTAGGCTTGTCTGATAGTATGCTTCTCTGAATCCTGTCAATTAACACATTCTGGGGCGGTTCTTCTCTTAGCTTTTCATCAGTGTACTCATTATTTACGTAGTACCCTACTCTTATAAATTCCTGGTTCAGGTAAGAGCAGGTCAACAGAAGGACAGTCACACCAACTATATCTTCTTCCCGGATCTTTGAGGGATCTGGAGGCTCTGCCTGTACATGCAGATGAATTGGTGTAACTAAATGGTCCTGATAAACCTCACAAGTTATTTATTACTTAAGGGAAAAAGGGTCATACCTGCAAGACAAACCGGAAATTCCCAACATTAACAGGCCCAACAAGAACACTTTCAAGCAGTTGGTCATAAGTTTCATCCTCAGCTGATCCAACATAGATAAGCTTCCATTCCAGATCTGCATATAAAAAGTATTCAATGATGTTGTCAATTTCTTATCAGTGTACTTTGCAATTGCATGTTGAATTCTATTATGTTGTGGAAGATAATAGAAAAACAACTCTTCATGAAACCCCTGTAACATATTAATAATAAGAAAATTAGAAAGTCGGGCTTTTCAATGGAGTAATGCAAAGAACCAAGGCAAGACCAATGCTCTACAGGCTACCTGTAGTGTCTCCCAAACAACAATACCATACCAATCATATCACCTTCCCCTCTCAACCAGCAAAATAGATACTTTAGTCAAAGAGTCACATTTGATATCCGAAAACCCTAAAGGAAAATAAACTCAAGATAGCGGATGAATGCAACTCAATCGTGACAAATTGATATCATGATGATCATGTCAGTTCATTTCTACCATTATCAGCAAGCTAAATGAATTCGGCACAAAAAATATATGAAATGCCCAAAACCCCTAACCGTACAGATTCAAATTATCAAATTACATAACCCTAGCCCTAGTAGCCGACTTTCAATCCATACCAAAGCAGAAACACCGAAAAAATTACACAGCAAAGTAGAAAACCCAAAAAAAAAAAAATGAAAGACACAATCAAAAGTAGAGAAAGGGGAGGGAAAAGTACCGTCTTTGAGAGGAGTTACGCACTCGTAGGAGATTTCGAACTGTAAAGGGGTCAAAAAGGGTGCCGGATTGTCCAATACAGCCACGTTACAGAGGTTAACGGCAGTCATTGTGTTGAAGCTACTGGTGAAGAAAGGAAGGTGCGGCGGAAATGTCCAGACTGAGAATCCGTGAAGAAATCTCCGGTTCCAAGAAATTCATGGAATCATTGAAGAACCGAGTGGTAGGCTTCTAAAGGAAAAGCCGTAGAGGAGAAAATACTTAAACAGAGAGAGGGCGATGAAAAGAGCGAACTGGGAAATGTTCGGTGGAGTTACCGAGAAAATTTTGGTTGCGACTCCTTTTTATAGTGTTTACCGGGAACGCTTTGCGATTACGGGTTATAAGCGGTAGATTTAATTGGCGGGAGTGTTTTATTTTGGAGTACTTTTTTCTATTTTTACATTTTGGGCGGATTTACTTGTTTAGAAAAAACTTATATTACCTCGTTCATTTTTAATTGCAATATATGGGTTTTTATATTATTTATATATTTTATTTTGACTATATTTATTTATTCTAAATTAATTTTTTTTAATTTTTTTTAACACCTCTCATTTTAAATTTTCAAAATCTGAATTTTTTAATTTTTTACTAACAGATATTAATTGTTAAACTTGTGCATTGGCAAGCGTGAAAAGTGGACCGTTGCAATTAAAAAATAATGGAGGAAGTATTTATTTAAAAAAGAATTTATATTTGTTTTTGCTCTTGAAGTAATTTGTTTAGAAAATTATTAAGAAGATGATTAATTGTAAAAGTTATTTAAAGTGTTTGAAATATGTGAAAGTTTTGAAAAGTAAAGTTGGACTCATTAGTAAAATTAATTATTTGGTTCATTTTAGGGTAAATAATTATAGGAAATGTAAATATAGTTTTAAGCATCATTCCTCATTTTTCAACCTTTACCTTCAAGTTACTAAAGTTAAGTAAAAATAAAACTTAAAACACTACTTTAAGCTTTTTAAAACATAAGATAGAAAAATACTTATCGAACAACTATTGAAATTAAGAGAGTGCAAATAGCGACTTCAAATTCATTGTATTATTCAAAAACACACTGAATTATAAATAAGAAAAAAATACACTCTTTTATGATATCTTGAAAAATGGCTAAATGAATATTAACTTATGGGAAATTATCCTAAATAGGATTAAAAACAGTTTTAGATTTCAAAATAGGACTATCATGTTTTTATTCCCAAAATAAGAATAATTACTGTCACGTTTTGGCAGTATCAGACTTTAAACATGACAATATTTTCCAAACATGGTAGTAATTACACCTATTTTGGAAATAAAAATACGACAGTCCTATTTTGTCTTTTTCAAACTTTGTACTCCTACTTCGGTAATTTTCCCTTCACTTATTAACAAATCTTCGCTTCATTTTTTAATCAAATTATTAACAACTTTTTCATTTCCCTCCCCTCGCTATCCTCACCTCCGATATCTCTCCCTTTTTTGCCTCCTCCGAAGAAAATGAGAAAAAGTGTTCAAATTACTTTAAGAAAAAACATGATATAGAAAATGTTCCAAAGAGTTCTAAGAAGATCTTGTAATCATAGTTTTCGCAAATGTTATTTTAATGAAGAAAGCACAAATTCAATGGATTATTCCTAAACACTCAAAAGAATCATATACGGAGTATTACAAAAACGTCTAACCTCATTTTTGGTACATCTCGGTGTCAGGACCATAAAAAGGAAATTACTTGAGTGTGACTTGTGATCAATCAATTGTACTAGTCTCACTTGTCTTGGTTAAATTGGACCTTCTTACGAAAGGTGTTCCTACCCCCTCACCCGTAATTTTTCTTATTTATTTCATTTCCATCAAATAGGGATCTTTCAAAGGATGTGTTTTTGTGTAGCTAAAATTTCAATATGAAACATCAATTTGTGATTAGTTCTAGGTTCCTCTTTATATTATCTTCTTTTACGGTGCTATATGACTAAATGGATATTAACTTTTTATCATACCTTCCTCTCATTTTTCAATCAAGTTATTGAAAACTTGTTCATCTCCCGATCTCCCTCCATATGTCTCTCTTTTCCCTCCTCTGAAGGCATATGGGCAGAGGGTTTTCGAGGGAACGCAATAGTTTAGATATGCAAAATGTGGACACCCTTGAATATAAACAAACATATCATACATTTTAGTTTTAAAAAATTCTCTCTTCGTTTTTTTACCCCAAGGGGTCAGGGGGAGTGGGCGGGCTGGGGAGGACCTGAGGTAAACATGGGTGAAACGTCCTCCATAGAGTTTCGAACTCGAAACCTCTCGGATGAGAGAGTGAGTCGTCAACAATTTGAGCAGGACCACTTCTTCTAAATTTACTCTCTTCGTACTGCAAAGAACTTCTTACTACAATTTACAAATATTTATGTAAGATAAAGTTTGATTTTGACTCTATAAATATATCGTTTCTGTCAAATTAAGAAAAAAGTAGAAAAAGTAATTGTGACATTTCCTATTTAAAAAAATCTTTTATAGAAATGAGAACTTTATTTTATCACATGCAAGAAAGGAAACTCAGAACTTCCTAAGATGGCATAAAATTATTGCTTTGCTTCAAAAAGAAAAAAGAGAACTTTCTCCCTTTTGAAACCCCTCCCCAAAGATTACCCCAGTGAATCGTGCCAACTGCCAATCTGATTTTGCTGTATAGTTACCGCTTTTGATCTTTTAAATCTTCATATACAAATTACAAATGCATACACTTCTTAATCGCTAGAAAGAACAATATCTTGTGAACATAACAATTAGGATTATGTTATATATAATTCCTTGGCCAAGAAGAACATGTTAGCTTGTACAGGAGATTAATCAAGACCTAGTTAGAGAATGATTTGAAGCGAAGGTATCACTAAACAAACCCCTAAAAGCCAATACATGTGCGATGAGATTGTCATACTAAAAAATCCTATAAACTAGAATTAGCTTTCTAAGAAGCAAAGTTCAACCCCAGGTTTCTGCAGTGTGTGTTAGCATGATGACAATGAGTAAAAAGTCTCCATATTGTCAGTGAAGATGAACAATCTGTGATTGTTGAGAGGGCTGCAATAGTAATAACTCATCTCCTTCTTCTAACATGGCAAGACTAGAGTTATGATCGCCATCCTAGCAAAGAAATACCGAAAAAGATGCACATTATAACTCAAAGTAGCTTGGCAATATTTCCTGCAAAAATATGTCCCATTTGGTAATGGTTGAATATGTTACTTATTCTGATTAAGCTTCTCATAAGCAGAATATGTAATAATGTAAACCAGAACTGGCTACCAAATAGGGCTTTATAGAGAGGGGAGTAATGTGAGAAATCTCATGCAAACCCTCACCTCTGCAGGGTGTGTCCGTCTTCGTCTCCTGACTGATGTATAAGCAGCCTTTACCATTACATAGATTGGCAATAGAATTCCAATAGTTCTTAGTACCAATAACTGCGTGCAAAAACATGCACCTTTCACTATCCAAATACTCATTGAAACTTCATATGCTCCGAAACGATATGAGGACTTGAAGAGTAACTAAGATGTCTTTTTACACTGGCCTCATCTAAGATGTCTTAGAAGCCAAATAACAAAAAAAGTTTCAAATATAACGGTGTCAATTCTAACAAAAAATGTTATTTACGTACAAACGTAGTATTAAATTTGTTTTCGAAGAAACCGAATTGTACCACATACTATGAACAGTGTCACTGAGTAGTCCCTGGCCCCATAGATGATAACCGGTAGTGTATGACGTAGGATCATAAGCAGCATGAACTGCATAAACATCAGCAAAATAAGGAAGGAAAATATAACCTTTTATTACGGAGAGGAGGGAATACCGTTATAACAACTATGCGACAGCAAATCAAACTCCTTGGAGTATATGCACAATGCTCTTGAATGTTCGGGTCCATGAAATTGTGTTCTGTAGAAACCAATGTAATGTATGGAGGGATGTGACGGTCTCTACCAGAAGTATACCAATTTTCTCTATAGAAAACAAGAAAATATGAATAGCTTCTTATCAGCTAGGAAACAAGAAGGAATAATTGAATGAACTTTAGTTAAATAAATTACCTTAAGTTCAATGGAATCCTACTATGATGAAATAAACGAGGTGTTGCTGTATATCCCGGCTTAAATTGCTACAAGAACAAAGATGGAAGCATTGAAATGAGTTAGAGTTTTTGACAAAATCTGTAATAGTAAATAAAGACCATAGATAAAAATGTGTCCTTTTATACGGCCGTAGCAGTACCTTTTAAGGGAAAGTTCCCGAAATAGGAGTAAAAACAATGTAAAATTTCAAAATTAACTACGATTATGCTCAGTTTTAAACTGTATTTAATATGTCGAACATATAAATAGTAATTGTAATCATATTTTTATTTATAAGTTTTATTCAGTAATGTTTTAGGAAACCCCCCAAATATAATTAATTATTTCTTAAGATAAACCATTTTCAAAGGGAAAGCCTTTGGAGGTCCTAATACTGATTAATGAAATGTTTGTAAAAGGAAATAAAACGACGTGATTGAATTTATTCAATCTGAATTGTAAAATCTTACGGAGTACAAACTTAGTTCTAAAGAGAGCAACCACCTCTTATCAAGCCCTTCCTACACTTTTCTTCCTACTATTACACCCTCACAAAGAGAAGAAGTAGATAAGAATAGCACAAAGTGAAGGGAGAAGAGGATTGCACAAAGCTTATGGCAGAACACATAGACTACACCTTTCTCTCACTCCTCTACTCTTATAAGGTATGTACAGCAAGCTATAAAACATGTCAGCTCATGGGTTGCTACAACCATACAAGCAACGGTACCGGAAAACTCAGACAGGGCAGCTAAAGAAGTTTTGGCTTTACTACCAAGTCGATAGGAAAGGAAACTCCTGACACTAAAAAATAACACATATCAATAAAATGATAATATGGTATATGATAGTGTGGCTAATAAGTGGATTGCAATACTAGGGTAGTTGTTGATTGTTAAAATAGACAATGGAATAAAATATTAACACTTGATAGATTTTTTAAATCCATGAACCAAATTAAACAAGCCCTTAAGAGACAGACCTGGTGGCAAATTTCACAGACCGTGTCTCCCTTCTCATTACACCATCGCTGCACACATCGCCGGTGGACATACTGCACACAAAACCTTCATAAGTGACCTGTAATTCTGAACTGACTAATGTCAATAAGTAATTTACACCTCCTCAAGTAGTAAAAACATTTATATTCAAGGAATTTACTAGCTACTAATAAAACCTTCAAGCTTCCACGGCAGGAGCAGGGTATCTCCATGTTCAAATCTTCATCTTCGTCATGGCAAATCCTACATTCCACCAATAACAATGCTCTTGGTGATGATCCTACCCCTTGATCATCAATATCAATCCTATGGGAACTAAAATCAGCACTCAAATTTTCAACAGCAGCGGGTATCGAGAGATTTTTGCTCTGTATAACGGCTTCAAGGGTTGAATCAGTAAGCATCAATCCCACTGGTAAAGCAAAATGGTCTCCCATACTTCAAACAGAATATCAAGAAATGGCTGGACTTCAATGCAACCCTCAGTTATATTGTTTCTTCTAAGCTGAATTCTTTGTAAAGTACGTCCCGATCAAGTTAACCTGCATTACAAAGATATTTGGATTTTTTAGTATACTCCAAATATCAACAAAAAAAAGGTGGGAACTTTCTCACCGTATTACCTTTGTTTAAACATTAAGACTCTAAGAACTCTTATATGCTGTTGGTTTTGTGGTCTTTTATAATTTTATTCTTTAAAAGCAGGGATAATAGCATAAATAGTACGTAGTACCTAACAAGTAACTACTAGTATGATTGTGTTTTAGTATCCAACTACTAAGTGAATATAGTACTCTAAGTATATTTACTTAATAGTTTGCCTTAGATTATTCAGCATAACACTCTATGGTCCACATATCGTGTATATCACATTCAGTTAATATAGTCATTGCAACAAATAAGTATTGCATATAACTTGTGATATATTTTCAAAATTCATGTGAGGTTAATATTATCCAATAGGACTATTTGACCGAAACTTTAAAATGGTACCATTCCAATAGGTTAATTCATGTGAGTATTTAAACGGTACCAATTGCTTCATTAAACTTCGGTCACTAAAATGCTGAATAACAACAATTATGGTCCATATTAAATTTTTAACCATTGAAATGAAACTATGTATAGAAATTGTCCTGAATAGGAGTAAAAACGTTTTGAAATTCTAAAATAGAACTGTCATATTTTTATTCCCTGAATGTGAGTAATTTCTGCCAAGTTTGGCATTACGGCATTACCAAGCTTTAAACATGGCAGGTTTTTCCAAATTTAACTTTTTTACTCCTATTTAGGGAATTTTCCCAATTATGTATGCATTGATGATGCTTTGAAACCATGATCATTCATCACATAACAGATACTCCGTTAGTAATACTACCTCCGTCCCACTACGTTTGGGATAAGAGGGTGTGACACAACTCAATTGTGTGGTTGGTATTGAATTGATAAAGTGTGAGTACAGTAAGAATGAATTGTAACCACCCAAATATTACCAAAAATAGTATGAGACAAACTTAATGGGACATGACGAAAAAGGTAAAACGGGACAAAGTTAGGGGATGTAGGGAGTACCATATAAAGCTGAACACTATAGAAACGGATGAAAAATGGAAAGATGGACCACATTATTGAAGACACAGAAAGTTATCCAATCCACCATTTTCCCAGAATTAAAAAAAAAATATAAAAATCAATTTTTTGTCGATTAGGCATCAGCAGAGATATATACAAGGAAAGAACAATGAAATTCACAGAATTACAAATGAGGAAATACTTACACTAGATTGTCCATCCCTTTCGAAGACCAATAATGTTTCAAAACGGGTATGGGGATTCATGATTGTGATTTCAGGAATGCCAATTTCATGAAAAACGGGTCAAACTGAACTGCTCCGCCCATATACTATCCAATCATAAACAGAGACGAGTGTTTGGGAACATTACCATTGTACATTGACTTCCACTTATTTTAAGAGGCCATAAAGAGGTGGTTGGAGACTCCTCCCAAACGATCCTTCTCCACTCGCTATCCTTCCCGATTTTATCGTTCTAATTTCTTGGACGTGGAATCATGTCGTCTTCGTTTTTGTAGTTGCTAATTCATGAATTCTGAATTTGATGGATCAGATAGGTCATAGATTTGAGTGGGATGGAAATGCCAGGTGAAAGGAAAGCGAAAAAATCGCTGGAATTATACTAACGTTTTTAAAAAGGCGGCCTTCATTACGTGAACTTGCAAGTCAAACACAACATTGGCAGAGGAGGACATGCAGAAAGCGAGTTCTGCTCTTTATGGCATGAAACAGAGATTCGGGTATCCATGCCAATAAAATTATCATAGAATTACTTAAAATTAAAAGTATACTTCTTTAATGAATATGTTGCGGGAGAATCGCACTTTTAATCTCTCAAATAGTAACGACATTGAAATTTAATCTCCGTGTTCCCAAAGGTGTAAATGTAACCCCCTAATTGTTCGAATGGGTGTAAATGTAGTCATGAACCACATTGTACATTTCACCGTTCGAATGATCACATTTATAACAATTTGGACAATTGAGGAATGTCATTTATAATCTTGGTAACATTAATATTAATATTTCAATATCGATACCATTTGAGGGACTAAAAGTGTGACTTTACCAAATATTTTAAATAAGGAACATTTTAATAAAATTTTCATATTCAAAATAATTTCGTATTTAAAAATAGGCGAAATTCATGAGAATAATACATACTTTTAATGGCTCTAAAACAATAATCTGCACTTAAAGTGTTTTTAAAAATAATATGAACTAGCAATAGTGACATAGTGTCCACAAAAATAAATTGGGGTGAATTAAAACTAGTGCCCATTTAATATTCTCAACTCCTACTCCTATATATTTTCTCTTCCCCGTCCTTATCATGGTGAATTCAAGTTAAAACCTATTTAATTTCAAAGTCATTTTCGTCATAAGTGGTTCTCTCTAGGTTGGAAGATAAAAGTGTTACCCGAGATGAAGTGGAGGTAGGAGTATTAAACATGCATTAGTTTGAATTCATCTCAATTTATTCTTGTGGGCATTATTGCTAGGTTCGAATTATTTCTAGGATTATTGTTGTAGAATCTCTAAAAGTAAGAATTATTCTTGTGAGTTTCACCTACAAAATATCATTGATCAATAAAAGTCAATTTGACAAACCTTTTAAGACGGAGACAGTACTTTAAATGGAAATGATAAAATTTGAGATGCACAACCAAACAAGAGGAAAGTTACCAAGTTTTGTAGGATGGAATGAGTAATAAAGAATGTTAAATTGTACAACTTCTCAGTTCTCAATGTATACTGAGTACAAATTTTCAATAACAAAGGAACTCCTTATAAGAAGCATAAGGTTTTTAAAGATCATTCATTAAATAAACTTTAGCATTCCGAAACATATGCTTCAGATCTGCAACGTGAAATCTTTAATCATAATTATAATGATATATCAATCTCAAGTTGACTAATTATGCATTTTATTCAATATACATGAACTGTACTAAATTGTACAAGTATCAATGGGAAGCTCAACATCCCAAATGCACTGACAGCGCAAACTGATAGATGATATCATACTCATGGCGCAAAGGCTACAAGCAAGTTCCTTTATAGCAGGGAGAAAAAATAATATAAAAATACAAACATTCCATTGGCAAACTTGATGCTAGGAAAAACAACTTTATTGTATAAAAATAAGTTGTATAACTGCCAAGCTTACTTCAAGAAAGCAGTAGCTTGAAATACACGATCATGTATATAGAAAGAGACAATAAAGCAAACAGATGTTGCCAGAAGAGTAGTGCTGATGCTTCACTGACTGAATACCCTCTCAAATGAGCCACTGCTCCCAACAAGATCGCCGTAGGCGTTGTGTACTGCAACAGGAGGACAAAACGGTACATTTCATCATCTGGGATCAAAATTCCTGCCTTGTCAGCCAAAGTAACCACCCCGATTCCCAACACAGGAAGCACCAAAAGCCTGGCAACAATCACACCCACGGTGGTCCGAACCCCAAGCTTAGACTCATTAGGACCCTCGGCTAACATTCCTCCAAGAATAAGCATGACTGAAGGCACCATAGCTTGTGCCATTATCTCCAAACTGTCCGTTAGAAATGAGAGAGGGGCATCATCACCATAAACAAAAGATTTGAGTGGTGGTGTCATCCCGACAACAAAAGAAAATAATGTGGCAAACATCGGTGGCTGAAGGACCCGCTGGATCGGGATCCGCTCCACGACGATTCTCATCTTCCTCACCACACGTGGCTCAGCCAAACACGCGATTGATCTGAGTTGTGTAGGACTATCAGGATCCGGGATCGAACTCTGCGAGATATTGGAGACAGTTGAGAAGATTTTTGCTACGAATGGGGTCTTGCAATGTTCGGTCTCGTTTTCTCCCATCCCGGGCCACTCGGCTTCTAGAAGAAGCGGTCTACTAAGATCATTAGCCGGCGGCAATTGTTGCTCTTGAATCTCAACACCTTCTTCCTCAACAACATCGTAATAATCCAATGGTGGCTCCATCATTAGATAAACAAGAGTGTACACAAGAAGGACTGAGACCCATTGGGAGAACGATACATATGCCACACCATTACTTTGACAGTTCGGGCCGAAGATATTATCTGCAGTATGACAGACTGACCCAACAATTGCAAGGGAAAGATTTCCAGAGTTGCCGTACGCAGTTGCGATTATAGTGAACCGTTTGAATTCAGGTGGCGTCCTGCATATCTTTGTCACCAGATATCCCAATAAACTACCAACCAGGACACTTAAAATCACATTCACCGGTATGAACCACCAAAGCAAGAAGTTCTTGAGAGTGATGGCTTCCCCAAGGTGAATGAATATGGTACAAGGGAGGAATAGAGCAAAGACAAGCTTGCCAAGAAGCTTGAATGTGGCTTTGGGGACAATTTTTGTTTTTGGGTGGGCGAGAATTATACCAATAACTGTCAAACAGATAAGCTTCAACAATGGAAGAATTGCATAAGCTAGGTATGCTCCTCCACTATACTTATAAGCAGGGATCTTAGCATCTTGCGACAAATCCATTTTCAGCTATACAGTAAGTACAGTGAACACTTGCATCCAAATCAAGATCCAATATTCACAAAACGGGTCTCTGAATTATACTCCGTAAGTTTTATCAGATCAGAATAGGGTTCAATTGTTATCACCCAGCAGAACAGCTAGGGAAGCAATTCCTGAGAAAAACATCACGTACGAGGATTTATTTCGAGAATCATAGCACAAAAATTAATTGAATCTAAGAAGTGACTGTAGAACATATCAATATATAGATAACCAAATATATTGCATGATTTAAATAAACAATACCACACACAGAGACAAACTGCTCCTGTTTTACGGATTAATACAAACTGTTATTCTTCTGCATAATCAAATTCAGTGATGGAAGTGAGCGGGTAAGGAGATACGTACAAGATAGAATATGGAATACGGGGAACTCTTGAATGTGAGTAGTTGAGGATGAAGCAGACAAACTTTCATAATTTCGAGGGGTTGCAGGGCACGGGAAAAATGATTATGCCATTTTTGGATTACGTCCTCCATTTTTGGATTAGTCTTGGCTTTAGATTTCAAAATGATATTTGGATTGAAATTTGTTAGTTTGGTCTCATATGTTTAAGTCTGGTCTGATTTATACTAATCAAGTCTGTTTTGGTAAATGTCTGATCTCTTTGTATTTTATAATTGTCCAAGTATGATCTGCTTTGATCCGATTTATTTAAGTCTGGTCAAATCTGGTTTGGTCTGATCTGGTGTGGTCTAGGAGTGAAAACATTCCAAAATAAAACATTCCTAATATAATTTACTAGTCTCATTTATTAAATTTGAATTTTTGCTGTCTAATTTGACTCAAACTTTAATTTTTATCTAATTTGATCTAATTTGATTTAGTTTTTTTAATCTAACTTTAAACTATTATAACTAGACCCGATATTATTGACAACATATTATTATTGTTATTACTACTACTGTAGTTATTTTGTATTATTATTGTGTTGTAATAATAGTATCATTATTGTTACTGATCATCATCATCATTATCATTTTTATTATATTTATCGTTATTATTATCGTTATTTCTATGATTATAAACTATCAATATCATTGCCATCTATAAGGATACTTACTTAAATGGAGTAAATAAAAAGTTAAATTACCACCCCATCTCAGTCCTCCTCCACCTTTCGATGTCTAGACAGTCCGCTAGACTGCTACCGTCCACGCACCCACTCCATACCAACCATTCCTAATATGGCTTCCATTGTAATGCAAATTAGGTCGAAATATGTGATTTTTTAAACCTAAATCCATTTTTATTTCAAACGGAGTGGTTATATCACACAATCCGACTTATTTTTTAAGCTAATAAACATTCCAAATGGCGAGAAGCGATAACTGATGTTTAATGCTTTTATAATTAATCATACGAGGAATTTAGTTCTGTTTGATGGCATTAAAAACATTGTTGAGACTTCTTTCAAAAAAAAAACATTGTTGAGACAAAGTGGAATTGTAAGATTAAATATCACTCGAATGGTATTATGAATGTTGATGGAGTATATGAGTCTAGGCGCCAGGACCCACATACTCAGGAGAACAGAAGGCACAGCTGTCACCCAATGGGACCCTCATCGGCCAGGTGACCCTCATCAGTCGGAACGAAGTCAACCCAGGACATGATCCGGAAGCCAGAAGAACCGGGTGACCTCATCGGCCGGGTCTTCGTCGGCCATGCACTCATCGGCCAGACCCTCGTCGGCCACAAAGAACTCCCAGAACCGGATTTTTACACTTACTCATTTGTATACTCCATCATTTACTTTGTATTCGGCCCAATAGCGGTCCAGTTATGAATGGGCCTCTCAAGCCCAAGGCTTGGGAGCCCAGCCCGTATTTTTCCCTATAAATACTTCCTCTGGAGGTAGTTGTAGGGGTTGGAAAATCATTTATTGAAGCATTTACTTGCACTTCTCTCTCTAGCTCTCACTTCTCTCTAGAATATAATCTATCATTTGGTGCTTTCATTGAGAGCTAGAACAATCAAGTTAGTATCCTTCATCGCTACCAAGCACAACTAACCACCACGCACCGCCTCGGCTAAGGGCACGGTAAGTGATCAACGACGGACAGAAGGAGTGAACAGCGCCCTCAACGGCCACTCAAGACAAAGGACGCTCATCGCCCTCCAACAAGAGATAGTCACAATGGCCTCCTCGGCCAAAAGTACGAAATTTAATCAACAACGGCCAGAAGGAGTGAACAGCGCCCTCAACGGCCACTCAAGGCAAAGGACGCTCATCGTCCTCAAGCAAGACGCAACCGCGGTGGCCTCCTCGGCCCAAAAACAAAATTCAACCACCGAAGATCGTGAAAAGGTAAGAATGTCCTCATCGGCCACTCATGCCAAAGACACATATCGGCCATTCACAATTGCGGACCTTCACTGCCCCCATCAAGCAAGGGTATTCATCGTCCTAGAGAGCAAAGAACACGTACCATCCGCATGGCTAAGGTCTCTCCCGTCCACAACAGGGGACACACAACGGCCAAGCATAAAAAGAACAGGAATCTACTCTCCTTCACTTCGTATACATCTCAGCTTGAGAGTGAGGGACTCCTGATGGAGTATATGGGTCTAGGCCCCAGGTCCCACATACTCAGGAGAACAGAAGGCACAGCTGTCACCCAATGGGACCCTCATTGGCCACGTGACCCTCATCGGCCGGACCGAAGTCAACCCAGGACATGATCCGGAAGCCAGAAGAACCGGGTGACCTCATCGGCCAGGTCTTCGTCGGCCATGCACTCATCGGCCAGACCCTCGTCGGCCACAAAGAACTCCCAGAACCGGATTTTACACTTACTCATTTGTATACTCCATCATTTACTTTGTATTCGGCCCAATAGCGGTCCATTTATAAATGGGCCTCCCAAGCCCAAGGCTTGGGAGCCCAGCCCGTATTTTTCCCTATAAATACTTCCTCTGGAGGTAGTTGTAGGGGTTGGAAAATCATTTATTGAAGCATTTACTTGCACTTCTCTCTCTAGCTCTCACTTCTCTCTAGAATATAATCTATCAAATGTCATAAAGCTCGTTTAGTAATACAAAGTTTTAATCAAGAGGCTGGTATAAATTTTTCCTAAACCTTTAGTCCCGTTTTTAAACCTACTATTGTTGAGATCATTCTTACATTAGCTATTTTTTTTTAATGTGTTATTAGGCCACTTGATTTTAAGAATGCCTTTCTTCATGGGCACCTTATTGAGAAAGTTTATATGTATCAACGTTGTCGGTTTGTTCATTCTCAATTTCCTACTCATCTTAATTTCTCAAGGCCATTAATTTATGGTCTTAAGCAAGCCCTCGTGCCTAGTTTCATTGTTTTAGTAGGTTTCTCCTATGTCATGATTTCATATGCGATCAGCCTGATAATTCTTTGTTTATCATTCGTTTAATGAGTCACTTATTTATTTATTACTCTATGTGGATGATATTATATATAATCACTAGTAATTCTTCTTCCTCCATTAACTGTTTCATCAGTCTCATTGCACGTCACTTTACTATGAAGGATCTTGGGGATCTGAATTATTTTCTGGGTGATCAGGCTATGACACTCCACAGAGGCTATTTTTGTCGCAACATAAATATGTCATGGACCTTCTTAAGTGCTTTCATTTATGCACACACTCTTAGGCTAATGTGCACTCCTTTGGTTACTCACGCTATTCAACTCTCTCCTTCGGTGATGGTTAACTTCTGAAAGTTCCTACTGGATATCACAACATGGTAGGTGCGCAACAGTATTTGGCTATATATGGTCAGACATGACAATACTTATGCAATACATTTAGCTGTCAAAACATTTTTCAAATACATGTAGGGTACATGTGGTCATGGTCTGTAGTGGCTTCACAGCTTCAGTCTTCGAATCGCCATACTTATATCTTCCCTTATTCTTGTGCTAATTGAGTTATTTGTCCATGTAGTTTCTCATTCGATCTACCACATGTTGTGCAGTTTTTCTCGGTTCAAATGTGGTCTCCTGGAAGTCCAAGAAACAACCTACAGTTTCCAAGTCCTTAGTGAAACTAAATACGGAGTCTTTGCTTATACAGTTGATGTTGTTTGTATTCTCTTTGTTCTCTTTGAGCTGAGTTTCCCTATTCGTGTGCCAATTCGCATGCAGTGTGATAACATCTCAGCCTCATATTTAACTACAGTAAACATATTATTAATGACTATCATTTTGTCTGTGAATGCATCTCCAACATACATATATTTTCACCAAGAGTCTCTAGTCAACATTTCATCTTGAGGTGTAATAATATCATATATTATGGCTACTATTGTAATTTATATTATAAGTTGGACTCTTAAATAAATATATCTGTTGGACCTGGGGTAACTGGCTCCATTATTTCTCACACAATTATTATACTCTATCTCTCTGTCCAATTGGATTTTGCCAACATTCTTTTTTGTTATTCTAAAAAAATTGTCACTTTTCAATTATTAGAGTAATTAATTTGCTCGTTTTGTCATCTTCACAAATGTCAACCACATAATTCTTACTTTGTTTAATTCCCACATGATTCAATGTTGACAACATCCAATGATACGGAGGTAGTATATATAAGATTGGGCTTATATTTGTAACCATAATTAGGAATGAAGGTTAGATACAGTTTCCAAAATTTTACAGGCTTTATATTAACAACAAAAGTGTTAAATTAGACTACCTCTGTTCTCTTTTAATTGCAACATTGGACTTTTTGTACTATTCATATATTCTACTTTGACTATATTTTATTTATTACTCCGTAATGTATTATAAATTAATTTTTTTAAATATTGTTAAATTCTTCTCACTTTAAATTTTCAAAATCTTGATTTTTTAATTTTTTTAGTAATAAGGAATGAAAGATATTAATGGTCAAACTTGTGCGTTAGCAAACGTTAACAGGGGACCGGTACAATTAAAAAAGAATGGAGAAAGTATATTTCATTGGTAAAATAGAGGCTACTAATTTAATAGACAAATTGGTTGTAAATGGGACTAAATAAGATCGAATAAGCTGTCATAAGACTGCTTTTATTTTTTTATCCTAAATCGGACTCAATTTCAGAATTATTCCAACTTTACCCTTAATGATGGTGCGCTGCTCCACTCATGCCCAAACCTTGTCTCCTTATTCGATCCACTCATATCCCAAAGGACAAAACCCCACATCCCTCTTCGTTTCTTCCCCCATACGCACAGCAACAACCACCTAGAAGCCCAACAGATCTTCTTCTTCCTTCCCTACACCTCACCTTCTCCTTCCCTGTAGATCTTCTTCCTACCCCTTCACACAACAACAACCAGACCTAGAAGCCCAGCCATAGCCATCGTCGACGCGGATACGAAGTCCGCCGCCGAAGGTCTTCTTCTCTACCGCCATCGCCGTCGAAGGTCTTCTTCTCTACCGCCATCGCGAAGGACACCGCCGCTGTCGCCGGAGAAACTTTTCTTCTCAGTAGATCTGCTTCTTCTTTGAATGTTCTGCTCCGTTTCTTTCTTCATTGTTACAAAGTGCCAAATTAAATCTGAAAACGCCGTATAAATGGCATTTTAAGTCTTAAAAAATTTTGTATTTTCAATTGGAAATGCCATTAAGCTGGCATTCTGATAAAAATCTTGGCATTTACGCTGGAAACGGGCAGATCTGTAACTGAGGAGGTCAAATTTGTAGCAGTGGATGCCAGATTAGTTGCGAAAGTGGCATTCTCAGTAGATCTGCTTTTTCTCTGAATGTTCTGCTCCATTTCTTCTTTCATTGATACAAAATGTCAAACTAAATCTGAAAATGTCGTATAAATGGCATTTTTAGTCTTAAAAATTTTTGTATTTTCATTTGGAAATGCCATTAAGATGGCATATATTCTGATAAAAATCTTGGCATTTACACTGAAAACGGGCAGATCTGTAACTAATGAGGTCAGATTTGTAGTAGCGAATGTCACATTAGTTGTGCGAAAGTGGCTGGATCTGAAGGGATGGCGGCTGACGGCTGACGGAGGCTCAATCCAGTGACGCCCTCCAGATCTGCGACGGCGGTGGGCTGATCTGCGACGGCGGCTCGTTTTTGAGGTTGTCGACGACCGACGGTGAATGGCGGTGATCGCCGAATGGCTGTGGTCCAATGTTGTGGTCTGCGGGAGTATGACTTATAAGCTTCAGGTGTGTTTTTGTCTGATTACAAATAATAACTCTTATTTGGGGAATTTTTAAACTTTGATCCTAGTTTTGCAATTAAAGACTGATTTACTCCTATTTAGGTAAATACCTCAATTAAATATCAAGTGGCATGTTTTTAGAGTTGTGTCGCCGTTTTTCTCAAAAAAAGAAAGGCCACACTTGTTTAATTTAAAAGGTAGATTCTATGGTACCCTTAGATACCATACCTTTGTCCATATGGACAATCAGAATGTAGTAGTTGAATTATTTAAATTTAAATTCAAAATGATATAATGATTTTATCCAATCAAGTGAGTAGTAGGTACGGTACTCCATTTTTTAGATGAGTAATGAAGTTGTCACCAATTTAAAATACATGAAATCAAGGAAATTCTCTTTCAGGCATGCATGGAATAATACGGCTAATAGTGAGTATGAAGATCATAAAAAGTCGATTTATTTACAACTGAAAAGAAAGAAAAATTTATCTTTCTCGAGTACGATTCTTATTCGAAGACATCAATTAATATTCCTTTTTAAAGTGCAGCAAAGTGAGCACGTACTTATTTTTCCTTCTTCCTCATTCTTTTCTTTTAACTTCTGGTCTTGTTTCTCAACTCCATCGCCAGGTCACAACACGGCGAAGGGATAAATCCGTACACGTGGCAGCCGGAAGTCGGAAAGGGAGTGATGAACTCCGACGAGTTCAGTGTCACCGACGCAAAGGGAAATTAAAAATAGACACACATATATATATATATATATATATATACAGAGACGTCAGAGAGGTCATATTATATATCAGCTGGGAATTGAAGATCGATCGAAAGAATGGGTGCGCTTGAATATCTTTCCAAACTCTGCGCATTTACCACTTCCTCAACCCCAACCAAATCTATGCAGGTCAGTACAACCGTTTATGAAAAAACATTCATAAAAAGGGAAAGCATAGCAAACTTTTAAATACATCTCCATCCCAAATATGAAAATGTATTTAACTTTTAAATACGTAGTTCAACACTAATAATACTAGATTTATTCGATTATAAATACTAGAGACTCACTGGCTCACCGTTATACTACATTGTACGTAATACAATTAAGATTAGTTTTTTTTAATAACAATACTTAAAAGTAGTTTCATCACTAAAAATGAGGTTATCTATAAAATTGGGTTTTTGACAGAGTAATTAATAAAATAGGGGGATATAAAATATTAAAATCAGGAATAAATATGAAAAGGTAATTAGAGAGGATCGAAGAAACTTTTTGATAAATTAATAATTGTCTTAAGTAAATACTCTTTTGTAAAGAAATCTGAACAAATAAAGTTAAATAAGGGAGTATATTTAATTTAATTTGTTAAACTCCGTGATCATGCATGGATGCAGACGGTGGAGATAAAAGTGAAGATGGACTGCGATGGATGTGAACTGAAAGTGAGGAATGCTATTAGACGCATCAAAGGTTCGTTAATTCATTTCACATTTTTGTAAACGTTTGGTACATTTTATCGGTATGATCATAGACAATTCCACTGAATCACAGAATTTATTTAAAAATACAAAATTGTTATAATATTTTTTGTCACGCATCACTTTTTTTCAAACATTCTAATTTTAAAGTTTAACTTTTATCACTACTACTTTATATCACTTTTATAATCAAGCATTTTATTTCAAAGAAATCACTTTTTAGAATTTAGAAATATTCCCAAACACGTAATCTCTATGAGCTCATTTGTTAACACTACTAATATTGGCCGAATGTGCTGATTCTACTAAAATTTACGAAGTTCTGACGGAAGTGCCTGTATTAACTGATTATGCTAATTTATGAAAAAATTATATTTAAAATATTTGTTTTTAATAAATAAAATAAAAAAAAAATATATGAAAAAATTGCTAAAATGATCCTCTGCAGTAATTTCAGCCAATACAGCCAAAAAAGTAATTGCAACCTTACTTTTTCTTATTATTACACAATTCAGTGCGCGAAATAAAAAATTACGTGTATGGTGAAAAAGCTGACTGATAAATCGGATAAGCAGAAAACGGGGGTCACCAAACGGGCACTATATATATTTTTGTAAAATAGGCAGCCCCTTTGACCAGGGGCGGAGCCAGGGGGTCAGGGTGGTCAGCCGACCCCGCTGAAAGTTTGAGAGTATAGAGCTCTGAAATATCTTCGATTTGATATATTATGGCCCCCGTAACTCATTACGAGTAAAAAGTTATGACTTCTGGAAAATCAGCACTATCTAAACGTGAAATCATCAAAATTTGATACATACTATAGATTATTTTCTCAATTTTTAAAAATAGGGTATAATTCACTCAATACTTACGTGACACGACTCAGAGACAGAGCAAAGACAATTATCTGTCTTATTGGTACAATTGTCTATTTATCTAAACTGCACATATAATATTCAATTTGAACATTGTTTAAAAATGATCCACCATTTTCACTCTGTATTCAGGTCGAGTTTCGACCCACCTGAGCCGTTTTTCTGGCTCCGCCACTGCCTTTGACATCAATATAGCTCCATTATTCTCGGCTTAAGTTCTCCGCTTAAATTTTCGAAAGGCATCTAAGCTTTTGCCCTTTTACCTCTGTTAGGTCAAGGCATCTAAGCCCCTTTGGAATCTCTTTTGTACGTATGGAGTAATTTGAACGACATATATTGTTCTATACTTTACGGACTCAAGTGCATGTTACTCTCTTTGATACTAACATATACTCCGTAGATAAATAAGTTGAGATTAAGGTTTATATAGAGGAGAAAAATAGAAGACTACAAATTAATTGTTTTAAAGGGAATTCGACCCAAAAAATGATAATCAGAAAATAAATGGTTATTAAAGTTTAAAGGGATGAAGATAGTATTCTAACCATGGACACATACTAAGGAAAAATGTAATACTTTCCCTATTCAACTTTAGAGAACTCTATTGCACTACTATTGCGGACCTGCGGTCAGGGCGGAGGTAGAGGGGGTCAATCGGGCCCTAGCTCACCCCAAATTTAAAAATTCTTTGTATTTTTAGTGTTAAAATATGTATAAAAATTCATCTGAAAAAATCCTTTATAACGGCCCATTCCAAACTACATTCCATCTACACCCAGATCGCGCGCAGTTATTATTGTACTACTATTGCAGTTAGTTGGACTCTATTAATCTAAACTTTCAGAATATATTTTTATCATTGCATAGTTTTGAAATATTAAATTTTTATTTTTGATATATACGGAGTATCAATAAGAAAATGTTTTATGTTAGCATATATGGCATGTAGGTGTGAAAGGCATAGATGTGAACAGAAAACAAAGCAAGGTGACGGTGAATGGATTCGTGGAGCCAAACAAGGTGTTAAGGAATGTCAAAAGAACCGGGAAAAGAGCAGAGTTTTGGCCGTACATCCCTTACAACGTAGTGTACTACCCATCCTCTGCCCAAACCTATGATAAAAGGGCACCACCGGGTCACGTGAAGAACGTCCAACAGGCGATTCTGCCCCCCAATTCTACGGAACAAAGGCTGGCTTACATGTTCAGCGAGGATAATCCAAATGGTTGTTCCATTATGTGATCCTTACATTTCGACCCCTTCTGTCTACCTGAATTTCATTCTGGCCACACTATATAGTTAATTTATACTTTTGCCCATCAACTTCCTTTTTATTGTGATAAGTTTCGTATGCAAGGTTTGCAGTCTTGCAGATGTGCAATAATAAATCTAGTTTTCTCATTGATAATAATACTTTTAATCATTTTCTTTGTAAACTACAGTACAAGTGTACAACAATATTATTGACTTAGCAGCGGTAGCAATTCCAATAACTTGGTTTGTGTTTTATATTATTGAATTATTTAATGCTATTATTATGCTCATCCTTTAGGAAAGAACACAAAATTATTGTAACATGATATTAGAACCAATCCAATACATAAATATGATGCTGCCTTATTTATGAAAAATGACAATGATCTCGATACAAAGGCGTGAGGCTGTTCGTCCCCTGCCTATGCTACGAGCTGTTACAGTTACTATACTATTAGAGTGCTTAGTTGCCAACCCGTTACAATGAAGTAAATGCTACTATTTATACCGCCAATGGGTAGTTGGATGTGTTGACGTGGCGGGTTGTGGATGACATAATCCCAACCACCAAATCTTCTGCATTAAATTCGCAACCACCAAATCTTCTGCATTAAATGCACTTCCCGCCAAGATCTTGGCTTCCCGCCAAGGGATGGAGACATTCGTCCCCATGAGCTTGTCTCATGTATCCTGCTAGGCCCGAAGTCCTGCGAGACGTGCGTCAGGCATCCTCTGCCAGGATCTTGCCTTCCCGCCAAGGGGTGGGGACGTTCGTCCCCTCGAGCTTGCTTACTACTTCTTGCTGGGTCCAAAGTCCTGCAAGATGAACATTCGGCTCTGCACCTATTTCAAGGCAACTGCCTACGCCACGGTACGTACACCCTCTGGGCCTTGGAGCTGAAGCCTGGCCCTGTTGGGGACGAACCTCGCCAGGAGAAACGAAAAGGTAGCTCGTTGTCTCGTGCCTTCTGGGGACGTTCGTAGGGCGTCCCTTGAGGGTTTTATGGGCCAACCCCCGTTGGGCCATTAACCCAACACAAGTCCCCCACTTCTGATGTTCCGAGCGTGCGCGGGGCATAAGGAAGTAGAATTGAATCTGACGTACGTCGCCAACTAATACCCTTGGTGCCTCCCAAGTCATAGGCAGAGGGTACCTCATTAAAAACTCTGCTGAGGAAAAAACTCTGTGGGAAAAATCCTAACGGAGGAAAAAGAGTATACTCCGCTCTGCCATGAAGAAGAGAAACCGCTTCCGGTGTACTGCCTTTAGCCGACGCCCCTGACGCGACGGTTACCTCACTTGCCTGCTGTATTCCAGATCGCCGAACGTCTTGCCTTATTCACTGGATCTCCGTATCCGGCTTTCTATGAAAACGACAATTGGGGACGTATGTCTTCCCCTCTATGAGGGTATTCTCTATTGTTTCTCTGGGGACGTCTTGCCTTAAAGTATACTCTACTCATCCTCTGTCTTCGTTGGCATATGTGAGGGCTTCGGCCATTCGGTCCCTGAATGCCCGGCTCAACTTCCTTTGGACGTTTGATTCCTAGAACTTTGGCCTTGATACGTCCAGCTTCGTCATGCATGACCTGGGGGCGCCCCGACCTCGTCATGCTAAGCGTCAATCCTCGGCCTGAGTTTCTAGAGATGTTCGACCTTCGGAATTTTCCTTCTGGATGCTCGGCTCAACATGCTTAGGAAGATCGGTCCCTAAAGACCTGACTCGGCTTCCTTTGGACGTCCGTCCCCTATAACCTCGGGCTAGGATTGTCCAGCCTTGTCATGCACAACCCCGGGGCGCCCCGACCTCGTCATACTCAGCGACAATCCTCGACCCGAGTTCCTAGAGATGTTCGGCCCTTGGAATTTTCCTTTTGGATGCTCGGCTCGACATGCTTAGGAAGATCGGTCCCTAAAGACTCGACTTGGCTTCCTTTCGACGTCATGACTTCAATAAGCTCAGCCTTGTCAAGCTCAGTCCCTGGATATGTTGTGCGTCTCATGACCCTAGACCGTGATGCTCATCTCATGGCCTTTGGCCTCTTTGTAGATGATGTTTGTCACCAGACCCTCGGCCTCTGATGTGGAGATGCTTTTCTCCAGACCTCGGCCTCTGAAGTGGAGATGCTTGTCTCCAGATCCTCGGCCTCTGAACTGGAGATGCTTGTCTTCGGACCCTCGACCCCTGCAGTGGAGATGCTTGTTTCCAGATCCTCGACCTCTGAAGTGGATATGCTTGTTTCCAAATCCTCGACCTCTGAAGTGGATATGCTTGTCTCCGGATCCTCGGCCTCTGAGGTGGAGATGGTCGTCCCCAAGCCCCTGGAATCTGAAGTGGAGATGCTCATCTCCGGGCTCCTGACATCTGAAGTGGAGATGCTCGTCTCCGGGTGCCTGGCCTCTGAAGTGGAGAAGCTTGTGTCCAGACCCTCGGCCCCTGTAGTGGAGATGCTCATCTCCACTGCGATAGCCCTCCCCAAGATTCATTTTGAGCATCCTCTGTTATATGACATCCTGATCATGACCTTTATCTACATAGTGAGCCTAACCGTACATTCGACACGATCTCTCTAAGGGGCCAATCGTACTGCATAAGACAGTGGTCGTCATCCTGGGAGGCATGGATGAGCCGACCGTGAACGGGATACGATGATGCTGAGAGGCTGATCGTGCTACGAATGATCTTGGTTTATCGCCACTTTGTACTGCGTTCGTACTCGGCATTCCTCTCGTAGTGGGTACGAACGTTCCCAAGCAAATGGTTCTAGATGCGCTGCCTGGGCTGCCCAGGTGCCCCGAGCATTGAAGTCGTGTGTCACCACTGTGGGGATGGTCGGCCTTCTTCCGGGCAATTTCCGTTTTATGAACGTCACTCTCCTTTGCTCGACCATCTTCTCATCGATCCTCCGTGCTGCCCCCGGGTCTTATGCTACGCGAGGCCGATGATCTTGATGAAGAACGGGTTTATCTTAGCAGTGCCGATCCTAACTAAACTCGGGCCTGAGGCGAGCATCATAAATGGGCCCTATACATAGTATTTTTTGTCATATAATTCACTAAAATTCAATGATTAAATATAAAAACCACAATTCTTAAATAAAAGTCTTACATGATAACAAAATGTTACTGAATGTACTAAAAACTAATTAAGTACAACTCGTCGAACAGTTTTAGATGCAAAAATATTTATCACATCCGCATAATCTAGTGGTTCTAAAAAATAAAAAATACATAATTTAGTGGTATCCTTAACAATATACTTCCTATGGTCCTTAATGAAGTTTACACTTAGACTTCACACATATTAAGAAAATAAATTTGACTTTACTGTAGAGTACACTGTTTGGCACTGTTTGGCACTGTTTGGTGTAGATTTGTTTCTCAAATAAGGCAAATAAGAAAGTGTAAAGTTTAATATGGGACGGCCCAAAAAGGAAAGTGTAAAGTTAATTAAGGACCGGAGGAAGTATAATAGTAATTTTTCTCTAAAAATACAAAGCATATAATATCATAATTTAACTAATTGTAAATCGAGAATTCCATAATTGCAATATTGATAAATGATAACCCTAAATAAAAAAAAACAAGCAAATAATGAACTATAAAGAAGCTTAAAGAGTTAAAGCTAGAGCTGTTGAAGGAATTCAAGGAAAGAAATGTTACATGCGCTAGTGCAATTGTGCATTTGTGCGAAGCCAGAAATGCCCAGAATCACTTCTCTTGGCCAGAGTGTAGTCAAGTAGAGAACAGTTTGACAGAGAAGGCCGACAAGGACTCCCGGCAAGGATTTTCTCCAATCCTCCTCCAGTCCTTCGCTCGTGAGTCCATGACCGCTTCGCCTCTTCGCTAGTTCACTTCAATCCCTAATTTCTTGACTGCTGGTATCTTTCGCAAATGGCAAATCGTAGGGGCAGGTTGGTTTAATTGGGAGGGGTCGACTAATTAGATATAAAATACATATATGTATAATACTAATTTTTGTAAAAAAAATGGGCCCTTAATTTTTCCATTTTTTGGGGGCCCTGAGGCTTGGGTCTCTCCAGCCTTACATAAGGGCCTCGGTTCAAGAAGGGGAGGCCCGGAACCGGCCCGGGTAAACCCCGGGTCCGGGCCAGGCCGGGCCGGGCCGGGCCGGGCCTCGGGTATTTTTTTTTTTTTTTTTTGGGGGCTTTTCCTAGTTAACCCCCACCCCTCCCCCTCACCCCCAAACCAACCCTAACCACCTCAAATGGGCCAAAATAACCAGCCCAACCCAAAAACTCAAAAAAAATTCAAAAAAAAAATTAAAATTGGGCCGAGCCGGGCCCGAACCGGCCGGGCCGGTTCACCTTTTGAAGGGCCCGAGCCCGAACCGAGAATCCACCGGGCCGGGTGGCCCGAACCGCCCAACGAACCGGTTCCCGGGCCGGTCCGGGCCCGCACAGTGGCGGGCCGGTCCGGTTCCGGGCCGGTTGGCCCGACCCGAGTCCACCCCTACATAAGGCACAGGCCTGTATCTTAGATTCGCTGGTTCTCGCTCAACCATCTTCCCATCGGTCCTTCGTGTTGCCCCTGGGACTTACGCTGCGCGAGGTCGGTGATCTTGATGAAGAAAAGGTTTATCCCTTTTCGGGACTACGTTTTTCTATGTATAATTTGGCACAATCAACTTCAAAAAATCATTTGAAGACCTTCCTGATCAAATTTTGAGCTGAAATTTGGTATGGAGAAACTAGACTTGATGAAGAACATACCATAAAAATTTCATCAAAAAATTTCACCAAAAACCACCCCGAACTGCGTTGTTCCGACGGGGAATGTTCAGACGTGAACATTCCTCTCTCTCTCTCTCTCTCTCTCTCTCTCTCTCTCTCTCTATATATATATATATATATATATATATATATATATATATATATATTATTATGCATAATTTTATGATCTTTTTACACGCATATATGCAATATTTATGAATGTCATTGCATATTTGCATGGCATTTATGCCTCAATTTCATCTCTTCCCTCTTTATTTTTTATTAGAAAAGGAAAAATTAGAAATGACCAAACATTGCTTCTTATTTTCACCAAACTAGATTATAATCGGAAATTCAGAATCATTTTATTTAGATTATATTCACAAAATTTCAATCGAGAAGTCGATCCTTCATTTTTAAATAAATATACATACATGCAAGTATTCCGTTTGCACAATAGAGTTTTACTATCGTATTTATTAATTAATTTAAATGATGGTACTATTTAACTGATACGTTGATACTATTTAATTTATATTGTTTCATGCGTTGGTACTATTTACTAATTAAAAAACTGTGTTCAGATTATACGTTAATTGGAATTCATGTAATTTAAATGAAATTAAAATATTTATTTTATATTTTATGTTTCAAGTAGTTTTACTTATTAATTTATTAATTTCTTAAATATGAATGATTTATGCTCTGTAAGTAATTGTAAAAAATATTAATTTTATAAGCAATACCTAAAAATAAAAATAAACACTTATGCCCTTATACGTCTTTTTTACACAGAGTTATTCTTAAACATCTAATTTACCTAACACTTGGTGACAACAAGCTAACATACCCAACAAACTAAAACAGTTAACACAACCACATATTGACAATCTGCTATCGTGATCAGCTAACAGCTAACAACCGATTGCCAAACAAGGGCACATTGAGATGAATATTCATTTGTTCTATCAATAAAAAAACATTAAGATACATAAAAATAAAAGTTACTAGCTAGCAATAAAATAAACATAGCACCATTATGCAACAAATTGCAAAATACATACATAAAAGACAAATCAATATAGTTAGTTACATTATTATAGACATTAAATATGTAAATGCATTTATGTACTAAACTAAACATTGAACAAAAAATAATTTTCAAGCATAAGAAAATCAAACACTATCGATGATATTAGCCTATTAGGATTAATGCTTAACAATTATCTAATAAAACTTCATATTTTAATTAGTTCAATTTATTCGGATCGGATTTGAAGGGTAAAAATCAAAACCAAACAAGCCACAACGGTTCGGTTCAATTTTTATATTTGGTTTCGGATTTTTAGCCGGTCAGTTTAATTTGGTTGCGATTCGATTTATTTTGATTTGATTTTCGGTTTTTCTAACCCAGTCCTACATTTTAGAAGTAGGGGTGGATTCGGGCCGGGCCGCCGGTTCTAGAATAGTGGGCCCGGGACCGGCCCGAGGGTTGGACGGGTCCGGTTCGGGCCGGGCCACCCGCCCGGGTCACGGGTCGGGCCACCCGCCGGGCCGGGCCGGGCCGGGGCGGGTAATTTTTTTTTTTAAATTTATATATTATACTTTATAGTTTTATACAAGTATTAAAAAACAAACTTCAAGTGCATTTATTTGAAATGAAATAGGAACTACATTTGAAAATTAAATAGGAACTATAATTGTTTTTAATCGGAATCTCCGGCATAAGTAGAGCCACCCTCTGTAGATTCATCCATAAAGTGTTGGGATGGAGTGATGTCAATTTCTTGAGCTCTACGTGCTGCTTTCAAGCAATCGTGGTAGCATATAAGCATCTCAAGAGATTCAGCGCTCAACCTCGTTCTGGTTTGTGTTAGAACATTGCCGACCGAACTAAATTCTTGTTTCACGGCAACCGTTGAAACCGGCATTGATAGCACTTGCTTAGCCATCTTTGCTAAAACCGGGAACATTCTTTCTTTTCCCTTCCACAAGTTTAGTACGTCAAAATCATCATCTTCTTCAAAATCAACATCATAAGTTAAATACAAAGAAATCTCATTAATTGTGCTTTGTTGTGTAGCGGGAGTTGATTTTGTTTTTTTAATAAGATTGGCAAACGTAGATTTGAAAATTGATTTTCCTTTAGATGATGTTTGTGTCGGGGGAGGGGGCGCATTGCCATATTGTGCATGAAACTCATTGAATAATGCATAAAATATATCACTAACCTCGTTGTATTCTTTTTTCGGATCAATTGGGTTGTCCTCATACATTGGCAATAGACCAAAAAAAGCAGCATAATAATAATTCAAACATTTTTCTAAAGAACCAAGTCTAAAACGAGGATCGAGAACAAATGCAATACCATAAATATGCGGAATATGTGAATAATATTTTAAAAACTTTTCCTTCATAAAACCAGCAAAATAATTCACATAATCAGCATTCTCAAAATTTGAAAAAGCACCGACGAGATTAACAGCTTCACGAATAAATTGGTTTGAGGTAGGTTTATAAACATGACTAAAAGTTTCAGTTGCATTATTAAAATATATCAAAGCATTACAAATTTTTTCACAGGTGTCGATCTCAACCGAGTTTATAATATAATTATCATATTGTTTCATAAAAGCAGGAAAATGTTGTTTATATCTAAGAAGAACTCCAATTAACTTATAGGTACTATTCCAACGAATAGACAAATCTTTTGGAAAAGCCACATATCTCTCACCTCTTTCTATCAAATAATCATGTCATTTTTTCCTAAGGTGTCCATTACCCCAAATACGTCTAATCCCCCCCTTGACTACCTCCAACGATGCTCCCAACGCTTTTAGACCATCTTGCACACATAAATTTAGAACATGACATGCACATCGTTGATGAAAAAAATCTACCCATCAAAGAAGTAGAACCACACAATTCACGCAATCTAGGAATAGCAGCAGTATTATTAGTAGCATTATCAAAACCAATAGCAAACACCTTATCAATTAAATTATACTCGATTAAAATACGTTCAATCAAAATATAAATATGTTCAACGGTGTGACGATCATTAAATTCACGGAAAGCAAGAACACGTTTATGCATATGCCAATCATTATCAATATAATGTACAGTCAGACCCAAATAATGTAAATTATGATAAGTATCCTCCCATATGTCAGAACATACAGTAACACGTCCATCAAAGTTTGCAAAATAATTTTGTAACCTTACCTTTTCCGCACCATTTTAAATAATAGAATAATTTCGTACCTCTTTCGGACTTTCGGTCTTTCGGATGGGAGTAAAAGAATGACTTCAAATTAATTAGATATAATTCCAACTATATTAATAGATATAATAAATATATAAGTAATATATAATTAGATAACAAATATAAGTAATATAATACTATTTATATCTATTTATAGTTTATATAAGTAGATAACTAATATAAACTATAAATAATAAATATAATATATTGGAGAATGGAGAATGGAGAATAAGAGAATTAGAGAGTAGAGAGTTAAGAATAGGATTTAGGAAGAATTGGAGAAGAGATATGAAAAAATGTTTAAGATTAGGAGTATTTATAGGTTTTTTTACCTCCCCCCCCCCCCCACCACCCCCCCGGACCCCCCCTATAACCCACCCAACGGCTATATAGCCGTTTGGGTTGTCCCCAGCCCCACCCCCAACGGCTAGTAGGAGCCCAACCCAAAAAAAACTTTTTTTTTTAAAAATTGATCGAACCGGACCCGGGCCCGGGCCTGACCCGGCCGGGTCACAAAAATGCTGAACCGAGCCCGCCCCGCCCCTTCCCCCCGGTTCGGGCCCAGACCCGGTCCCGGGCCCGCACAGTACCGGGCCGGGCCGGGCCGGGTCACGGGCCGGGTGGCCCGAACCGAATCCAACCCTATTTAGAAGCATTTCATACTCAAAATCGCAAATCACATTTTTAAACTGCTGAGTCCTCATATTTTTAATTGTTCTGCACAAAAGCCTGGTAGCAACCGTGTTCACAAAGAACACACATTTCGAAAATGCAAGGTTTTCAAAATCACAAATCGGTATAATTGAGTGGCTGCCATTCTTACTAGGGCCTAGATTTAGGATGTGTCCATGCCTCCCGCTGGTGTTCCATTGTGATCAACATCATCATCATCATCTATTACCTCCACCACTGGAGCATACTGCAACAGTTGAATATTAAACATATTTTGTATTAAAAAATTTGATAGATAGATAGAAAGGTAGGTAGTGTATTGTTTATATAGTTTCACACACCTCGTCGTCTTCAAAATTTAATTCAGTAGCTGCACTGTTTTGTTCAAAGTCCCAACCAATAGAGTTCATGAGCAGATCTTTGAGCTTCCTAGTCTGTTGTAACGAGCACTCAGCTTGATGTTAATCAACATTTGAAGTACACTCAACTGATATTATCATATTAGTAATTTAGTATATTACATTCATAAACCGACATGAAAATGCAACCTTTCTCAAACGGCCAATCCAGTGAAAGCACAATAAACTAATAATGGAGAACAAGACAGAGGGGATCGTTGGAACTAATTGAGCGTGCCTGTGGACAGCATAATCCCCATGATTCCAAATGGCTATCCATTAAGCAAACCTCAAAAGTAAAATTCCTATGTTTGCCTCCAATACTTCAATATTTCTTGAAACTCTTTAATATAGAAATTAAGGGATACATTTGTTAATTTATAGCTTTCCATCGTTTGCAATGGAGCCAAAGACTCACTATTTTTGGCTTGAGAATTTGATGGAATAAAGCAAAATGGCTCACTAAACTGTTTTCGCTTCTTTGTTATGAAGCATCACTCTCAGTCCATGCAATTTTGGACGCACTTTCCACTATGGGTCATCCGGAAACAGTATCTCTATGCTTTAGTACAGGGTAAGACTGCGTATATCCGACCCCTCTTACCTCACCATAGGTGGGAGCCTTTGCGGCACTGTGGTAATGATGATGTTGATGATGTATTTGTTAATTTATAGCAATAATTATTACCACCTTAAAACCCACAACTTTTCCTTAATGGATGGTCATTTGAGAACTGAGGGAGTATATGGCTAATGAGCAACATCAAGGTCGAAAGTCATACCCATGACAGGAGGTCACCATCGATCACAGGGGCCTCAAGAAGCAATGAGAAGAACTCCTGAAAGAATATCATTTGTCAAAGATATGTCAAAGCCTTATTTGGAGCATGCAAGTAATATTACATAAAGATTGTTGCATGTATTGACTAATTCTAGACACGAGGCTCAGGCCTCATATTAGCATGTCAGACCAACTGATAGAGAGTAAAGATGCAAAGGGACAAATAATCAAGAAAGAAAATGTTTTACAAAACTGAAATAAAAATGAAGAATCAAACTCGTGTAGAAGGTATGAAGAAAAGAACATGAAATATCCAAAGGTATTCCTCCAGCAAGATTAACTTGCCCAACAGCCTTGAGCAGCCCAACTGATAGAATCAGAAAACCCTAGCAGACGATATTAACGTCTGTCCCAGCCTCAGGCTCAAACCAAATCCTTATTCTCAATAATCCCTCTAGTTCACAAAATCAGACCTCCTTAAATACTCCTTAACCTAATAATAAAATATGGTCATCTAGGCCCAGTAACCTAATAATAAAATATGCACATCTAGGCCCAACAGTTTATTAGAACTAACAATTGAATGATATAAAGTAATAAAACCCAGCCGTCAATCCATCCCATCTAGGCCCGCTGGCGGCAACGGTAAACCAATAATGGGCGAGGCCCGTCCTCCTGAAGGAGCGGCCCAATTGCCTCCTCCTGGAGCCTCGGCCCAACTGCCTCCCGCTCTCTAACAATTTCCTCCCCCTCTAAAACAACCTTGTCACCAAGGTTGAAGCAACGGAACTGCTGCTGGAACTACTGCAGCCCAATCCACGTAGCATCATCTTCCGACTGACCAACCCACTGCACCAACACTTGCTCCACATCTTTCCCTTTCTCCTGCACATTCCGCGAAGCCAAAACAGTAGCCGGCTCGAACACCGGCCCAATAGGTACTTCCAAACTCTCCGGCAACTCTGTTTCAATGGGATGATTCCCGACTACCCGGCGTAGCTGCGACACATGAAAAGCAGGGTGGATCCTGCTAGAAGCTGGGAGAGACAGTCGGTACGCCGTTGGACCCACACGTCCTTCGACCACAAAGGGGCCATAGAACTTGGCAGCTAGCTTGTGATGAGCTTGCTTTGCTATAGAAGTTTGCCGATACGGTCGAACTTTCAGGAATACACGGTCCCCGACTTCAAATACCACTTCTCGCCTGCGCTTGTTTGCCTGCTTAATCATTTGTTGTTGTGACTTTTCTAGATTACCCCTCAAGCGACGCAGCAGCTCATCCCGTCCCCCCAGAACTTCTGCCACAGCCTCCACCCGGCACTCACCTGGCAAGAACCGCCGTAAGGATGGTGGCGGCCTGCCATACACTACTTCAAAAGGAGTCATCCCAGCAGCTGTTTGGTAAGCAGTATTGTACCAATACTCCGCCCAAGGTAACCAACGAAGCCACTTATTAGGCTGGTCATATGTAAAACAACGAAGATATGTTTCCAAAATACGGTTTAACACTTCCGTTTGGCCATCCGTTTCAGGATGGTATGCAGAACTGTACTTCAAGTGGGTACCTGACTGCTGGAACAATTCTTTCCAAAAGGTACTGACGAATAGCGGATCTTTATCACTGACTATGGATCCCGGCATACCATGTAACCGAACGATCTCCCGCACGAAAGTATCAGCCACAGACCGAGCTGTAATTGGCGGTTTTAATGCAATGAAGTGTCCATACTTGGACAGCCTATCCACCACAACCATCAAACACGTATACCCCTGAGATTTAGGCAAACAAGTAATAAAATCCATAGCCACGTCCTCCCAAACTAAATTTGGAATTGGTAGTGGTTGTAAGAGTCCTGCGGGCGACATTGTTTCATATTTTGATTTCTGGCAGGTCAAACATTTGGCCACATACTCCTGCACCTGACGGAACATGCCTTTCCAATACACACCGCTCGCCAATCATCGATATGTCCTGAGAGCCCCCGCATGTCCCCCCTCCGGTGTGTCATGAAATTCATGTAACAGTTTCGGAATCCACTCGGAAGTAGCTGCCAGCACCAATCTTCCTTTAAAAAACAGCTTGTCATCTATGATTTCGAACCCCACTCGGCTGTCCGGATCAGTCTTCAAGGCAGTCACAATGCCTTGAATAAACTCATCCCGTTCTTGTTCTTCCAACACCTCTTGCATCCCTGCCCAATGCGGCACACTTAGTGTTGTCAACACCCCGTCATCAGCCCTTCTAGATAGGGCATCCGCCGCTGAATTGGAGACTCCCGGTTTGTACTCAATTTGGAAATCATACTCCAATAATTTGGCCACCCAATTCTGCTGCGAGGGAGTTATAACTTTCTGCGTGAGAAGATGTTTGAGGCTGTGGTGATCAGTGCGGACTGTAAAACGACGACCTATGAGATATGGCCTCCAATGTTGTATTGCCAAAACCAGTCCCATTAATTCACGTTCATAGGCTGATTTAGTAAGGGTGCGTCAATACCACTCCTACCCCAATACCGGATGTATCGCACTCAATCACAAAGTGGCGCTTGAAATCCGGCATGACCAAAACCGGCGCTTCAGTCAACGCGCTCTTCAAACGGGTGAAAGCAGCTGTTGCCTCCTTATTCCATTCAAATATCGCCATTGCATCTTTCTTCAACAAGGCTGTCAGAGGCCGTGCTATGAGTCCGTAATTTTTGACAAAGCGACGGTAATAGCCCGCCAACCCCAGAAACCCGCGCACCTCCCGGACAGAACGCGACTACTGCACGGACCTTAGCAGGGTCCATCTCCACGCCTGCCGCTGAAATGATGTGGCCAAGGTATTCGACCTTGGACCCCCCGAAGACACACTTCTTTATATTGGCCTTGAACTGATTCTGATGTAAAATATGCAGCACTTGTGTCAAATGTTCACGATGCTCGGCTATTGTCCGACTATACAAGAACGGCCTGAACAGATCATTCATCGTGGTCTGGAAGGTGGCTGGCGCATTCATTAACCCAAACGGCATCACGAGAAACTCATAATGGCCACTATGAGTGCGAAAAGCAGTTTTAGAAATATCCTGTTCAGCCACTCGTATTTGATGATATCCAGCTCTAAGGTCAATTTTTGAAAAAATTACGGCTCCAGATAACTCATCTAACATCTCTTGTATCACTGGAATCGAATACTTATCTGGAACAGTTACTTTATTCAACTCCCGATAGTCCACACAGAATCGCCAAGTGCCATCTTTCTTTTTACTTTATTCTTCTTCTCTGATGATGTCTAACACCAGATTTTCAATTTCATCTTTCTGGCTATGTCCATACCTATACGGCCGGACAGATATGATAGGGATGTACAGTAATAAAGAAGATTATAGAAGAAGATTCAAGAAAACTAACTGCAATTTCATTAGAGAAGAAGAACAGTAATCGTAACAAATGGCCGAAGCCCCCAGTTGAGCCGAAGCCCCCCAAAGAAAGAGAATAGTTCTCGATCTCCCAAAGTCCCAAAGTCAAAGTCTAAAACAGCCTACAAATCTCCCCTGCTATCTTCTATTTATACTAAACTCATACACTTTATTCTTATTAATACTCTAATAGGCCCGGTCCTTTATTCTTAGTATCTTTAGGCCCGGTCCCTAACAATACTCCCCCCTTAAACATCCACCTTGCCCTCAAGGTGGATGATAGGACTCAGCCACCAATTTCTTCTTTTCTTTCATCCTAGCACCCCTCCCTCTCCAATACAGATTTGTCTTCTGGATCTTTTGCTTTACTACTTCCATCTTCCACTCTATGTAATTCATAGCATAGTTCCACAAAGGCCAGAAAATTTGATCCAAAACTTTGATTCCTGCAGATTTTTGGAAGACCCAGGTGCGGCCTGCTGCAATATAGGGGACAACTACTTCATGCTTTTGAACAGTATGAACACTTCTTCCTTCAACATCCTGTTCACTTGATGATTCATCTCCTTGTAAAATCACCTTCTGCCCTTGTACTTCCCATTTGAAGGTCTGACTTTGGAAGTTAATCTCCGTGTCTCCCAATCTTGTTAGCCAGTCCATTCCCAAGACTAAATCTGTGCTCCCCAGCTCCAATAAGTAATAAGTTTGGTGAATACTAATTCCTTGCACATTCAGATCTACATCTGCACACCTGCCACAGATTTCAATACATTCTCCATTTCCTAACTGCACCCTATTTCCCTGAAAAGGAGTATAAGGAATCCTCCACTTTTCCACCAAGCTTAGTGACATAAAATTGTGTGTAGCACCTCCATCAATGAGTACCTTTACTGTGTTTTCACCTTCATGCAATCTCAGTTTACCTGTCACCTTAAATGTTTTCACAGGGGTTATGTCTATCTCATCACTTACAGAAAACTGCATGGTCTTCAATTCTAGAGGAGTGGTCTTATCCCTGCCAGATTCCAGTAATTCAACTTCAGAATCAGCTTCACCCTCTGAATTCTCCACTAGGATCATTTTATAGTTCCTCATCTTGCAAACATGTCCTCTTCCCCAATTTTCACCACATTTAAAACAGAGTCCTTTCTTGCTTCTGTTTAATAGTTCTTCTTGGGATAGTCTGGGACTTACCTCGTTAGATACGCAGCTTGGACCTTCTTTCTTGCTTTCATCTCCCCATTTCTGGCCTGAAGATTGGATGATAGGAGTAGTCTGCCATTTCCTCCTTCCTTCATCCTTATTTTTCACAAAGAAAGTTTCAGAATTCTTGTTCTCAATCGCGGATGCCGTATCCATAACTTCTGCCAACGTCCTAGTTCGATGTAACTTCAATTCTGCTCTTATATCTCTTTTCAACCCCTTAAGAAAGGCTCCTCTCAAGACTTCTTCCGTTAAGTGGCCTTGTGAAGCGATAGCCTTTTCAAATTTATTTCGGTATTCCTGAATTGTCCCCTTCTGCTTCAGGCTAAACAGAGGCCCTAGTGGATCCTGTACCATATCAGGTTGAAATCGCTTTGTCAAAGCTTGAGTAAAAGAGTCCCAGTTTTGATGTGTAGCCTGTCTCTCCCACCATTGAAACCAGCTGAGAGCTTGG